TCATAGTACTTATTACGTATCTATATATTCAAAAAAAATTTAACTTTGAAGGTCACTAATCAATAGTCTTAAATAATGTACTCTCCACACAAACAAAATATATATCATTAAATAGTTTTAAATGGTCGCCATTGGATAAATGTTTACCATGATAAGTATTTGATTTAATCGCTTTTCATAAGTTCAATAAATACTTAGCTTACAATAAAAATTCATATAATTATTATGTAAATAAAAGAAAAATGTAACAATAATTAATTTTATATAGTTTTATCTTTTAAATCAATTTTTTCAATACTTCCATTTATATTAGATAATATATATATTATTTAACAAATATAACCTTATTTATTAATAACTTAATATGTTCTTTTTTTTAAATAAAATTTGAATATAGTTAGGTCTTGTAATATAAATATAATTTTCAGGGACACTTTGTTTAATTTTTAAATATGTGAAAATAATGTGTATTTTTATACAAAACTGATAAAACATATTATTTCAAAAAGAATACCATCAATACTATTTATTTAAAAATGTACTTTAACTTATTAATTTATGACATAAATTGTAATTTTATCAGAAACAAATTGTTATCGTGCTTAGAGCGTAGCGTGATCAAACGACGAGACTCGGGCGATTTGATTGTATACGATTTAGATTATCTACTGGAAAAGGTTAACGATGACGATACTAGCAATTCTCCACAACAGTAATATAAAACATCAAAAACTATTTATCATTAAAATATATGATATAACTAAAAATAATGTTAATTAGGTTATCAAATTACGATGAACGAAATTTAGGCGAAAAATCAGGGTTTGATTATTTACATTTTGAGTCCCGTTTTGAATGTGGTAATCTTCGAAAAGCTGTTAAGGTGAGTATCTTTTATGATGAAAAAAATATCATAATTTTTGTTACCTGATTACTTCATTTTTATTCAGATTGGTTCCAATGAGTATGATTTGATTTTGAATTCTGACGTAAATTCAATGTCGCATAGCCAATGGTTTTACTTTCAAGTACGATTTTACATTTTAGTTCAATTTGTATATATTATAACATTATAATTTATTAGTTTTGTAGTTATTTACCTCCTATTATAAGTTCTTGACTTTATTATCATACCTACACTATTTCCTTTGTAATGTTACTATTTATTTCAAATAAACTTCCTTTTTTACTCAGCAAGTCTGAAATAAAGAAAAATGATTTAAATTCGTTTTTAATTCTTATTAAACGTGTACCTACTTTAAGAAAAAAAAACTTTTACTACATTTTTAAAACATAAAATATATTGTAAATTATAATTGATTTAATAAGTATTAAATTGAAAAACATACCTTGAGTGGTATTCATACTAACTTACTTAAATATTACTAAGTTTTATATTTTGTTTAATGAAATAAACGCCAATACAACATTTTTGAATTAACGTTATAGCTATGATGTAATCATTTATTTTAATGGACATATAAAGTATATGATTTTTCAAAAAAAGCTTTTAAATTATGACTATCAACTATGTCCATTTAATTTTAAATACTTTTTTATAGATTTAAGTAAAAGATACTATTTTTAATGAATTAAAAATATTGTTTAATTCACATATTCCAATAATGTTGTATAAATATCATATTTGCTCTATTTTTAATGAAATACAATAATATAATTTTCATATTTAGTCTGATTTATAAATTTTGTTACTTGCGTAGTCACGTTGATAGCTACTAGCAGTCTTTTAAAGCATACAATTTAAATAAAGTAAATTATTTTATTGAATTGATTAATTTTAAAATTTAGTAATATCTAATTAGATAATTTAATTTTGGAGTATTTATTTACTTTATTTATTTTATCAGCCGATTTGATTATAATATTTTCTTTCATACAGGTATCCAATATGGAAGCACTTAAGCCATACGTATTTAATATAGTTAATATGGAGAAACATAGCTCTCAATACAAAAGTGGCATGCAGCCGATCATGTTTTCGGTAAAGAACTATATCGAGTCAAAAAAAGGTTGGACTCGCACTGGAATGGACATTTGTTATTACCGGAATTGTTATAAGAACTGCAATAAGACTCATGGCTCTTACATGACCGCTACTTTTTCAATTCAATTCCCATACGACCAAGACATATGTTACATAGCATACGTTTATCCGTATACATATTCAAAGTTATTGGTAAATATGTTCAATTAACTATTAATTATAATTTAAATACCTCAAAAATCTATTTTATATTCGGTAATCATTAAAATTAATTGTTGATTGACCAAAATTACAAACACTATATTACATGTGAAGTATGACACAATTATATTACATATTATTTAATTTCACTTTGAGCATTAGGTATGTGTAACTTATTTTTGGATAATAAAATCGATCATAATATAAAATTTAAAATTTAAATACTATTAATTAAAATCATTTTAATGTATGGCAAGTAGATACATATGTTTATATCTTTGTTATGAATTTATATTTGATCATAATATAGTATAAGATACTAGATTTAACTTCTCTATAATTAACAACCTTGTATAGAGTATGATCGTGAAATTTAACATTTAAATATACTATAGCTGGATAGAATTTTATTTAAATCTGGTTTTTGTACTTTATAAAATACTTAAGATTATGCATTACATTTGTTTTTGAAGAATACAATATTCTAACATATAATTTTTTGCATATTTGTAGTAAACAATTTTTTTTTAAAATTATTTCCTTTCCTCTTTTTTGATTACATATTGAATTACATTATTTTTTTTAATCATTTTGACTTATAGTGTTTTTATCTTAAAAATTAAGTGCTTAAGAGTGAATAAAAATCATATGAATCAGTACAAATCATACTAAATTATATAGAACTTTGTATGCAGTTAAAAAAAAAAAAAAAAAAAAAATATGAATTATAAAATATTTTTTATTGAGCTAATTTTGTTATGAAAAAAACATAATGTCAGTTGTGTAAAAAAAAAAAATATTTTTCAAACTCAGATTCAAATAAAAATGAAATCGCCTAAATATGATCTAAATTTGGCCTCATTTAAAAATAATATAATTCCATAAACTTCTGCAGTCAAATAATTAGGTTTAAAGTTTGATACATTTATTAAATCTTACTTCCTTTCATTCTACTCAAAGCTATTCTATCATAAAATTCTACTAATAAATCGACTCTACTCGTGTAAAAAAAATTGAGACCTGCTTATTTGATTCATCAGGTGGTACTAGTGAATATCTTCTCATTTTACAATTTCTCATTATTTAAACTTATATAAAAATTATTTATTTTACAAACAAATGTATAGATTGTAATTATACTTTTTAAAAAGATAAAAAAAAAAAAAATAGGAAACCCGAGTAATATTATGATAACTTTCTTCACAATCATGCATGAATCTTTCTTGTTAATTTTAATTTTAAATATGGTTTTATGTTATATTTTTCAGTATAAATGCTTCAAATGGAAAAATTCTGTTGATCTAACCACTACATTATTTCGTGCGAACTGTTTATGTAGATCATTGAATAATAACGAAGTGCCAATTATTACAATTACCTCTGTTGACACCATCGAAAAAAAAATTAAAGTAATTTTATTACATAGAAGTAGACCACTATAACATTTTAATATATTTTTTAATATTATTGCCTTTGGGTAATTTAAAACGAGCTCTATCTAATTCAATAATGTCATATAAAAGATAACTTTCATTTGAATACCAAAAAAATGTATCGATATTGAATTTTTCAATTATCATAGTTAATTTAAAAACCAAAAGAGCCATATTTTACTTTATGATAGTATAACATTTTTAATTTATTTAACTAATCATAGAAATCAATATTTTTTTTTATTTGCGGCATTTTTACGTAAAGCATAAACTTGTTTTGTGTAATTTTTTGAAAGTAGAAAGCTGCAATATTTGGATTATGACTATATAATATTTCATAATTTGTGGATAATATTTAAGATTTGTTTTGAACTTGAATTAGATTTTTCTAAAAAAAAATACATTTTTAGTTATGGTAGTCATGTTTAAATGAACTAAATGTTTTATTTGAGATGAATTATTATAAAATATATTTATAATAATATCTCAGAAGAAATAACTCAAAAATTCTATTTAAAAAAATTTAAAATAAGCTTACTTAATAATAAAAATCGATGCAAATGTATAAGTTGAGTTAATCATTAGATAACTATGATATGATAATATTAGAAAATTCAAAATGGTATTTAGAAAATAAATATTCTAATGAAAAATTATAATCAAATGTTAATTACTTACTGTATGTCTGTTTAATTTTTTAACCTAATTAATAAAGTATATGAGTGAATTACTTGTAATATTAAGTTATTATAACAGAGTGAAATACATTTATATTAATATAAAATCAAATTTATTTCACTAATTCAACTTATATATTAATTATTATTTGTACATAAAATAACATATTACTTTGTAGCATTGTTAAAATTGGTCTTATTTATAAGTTTTATTGATTCATTGAAATATTTATATATTTATATTATAGCTATACACTGTAACAATATATTTTATGTGCAGGATCGACATATTATATACTTGACATCTCGTGTGCATCCCGGCGAGACTAGTTCATCTTGGGTTATTGATGGTGTAATTGAGTATCTTTGTGGAAACACTCTTACCGCCAAAAAGGCACGGGAGACTTACGTGTTTAAAATTGTGCCTATGCTTAACATAGAAGGCGTCATCAATGGATGGTAAGTATAAAAACATACAAATTTGTTTTTAATCACTTGATTTATTCAAAATGATTACCATTAAATATTAAAGTACATTTTTAATTAGTCTAAGAGAGAATCTATAAAATTAATATTTACAAAATAAAATAATAATCGATAGACGCAAAAGAATATAATAAGTAAAAACAATAAAAAGAATAGGTCTTTCTACTTATTATATTCTTTTATATTATACCGATGTGATTTGTTCATTATTTTCATTACTTTTCTAAATAAAATTAAAAAAAATATATAGGTAATCACATGAAATTAAATATACCACCATTACTCCATAGAATTAAGCGCTGAGAACAGATTTTTGTAATTATACATGACTAAATTAAACAGCAAAATATTGTGGAGGGAAGAGAGCAACGTTTGTACAAAGTTTAGGCTTTTCGATGATTTTTGATTTTAAAATGTCATACATAATTAATCAATTAAAAAAAAAAAAAAAAAAAAATGTTTTTTCTTTAAACAAACATAATATTTTAAAAGTAAAACTCGCTGATTGATATGGAACTAAGCGACTTCTTGTGATGACTTTTTCAATACGGGTTTCTGTAACATAATGTCTTTGGCCCACGACCACGGTAACTGTAAATCGCCGGCGGTTGCAGCGATGTCTTTCGGCTGTTCTAAGTCCTTGGTAGATCGAATCTTGTGCGTCACTGCGGTGGCAAAAGCCTTTTCCAGCGATTCAAAAGTATACGCGTCGTTGTGCTGTTGTTGATCTCGACGATCTATTTCTTGTTTTCCGCGTTGTTTCACCTCGTGATGTTGATAATGTCTGTGTAGCTGTTGGTCGTGTTCCTGTTGTTCATGTTGTTGTTGATTGTGCATCTGGATGAGTGTCGGAAGTTCGGTAGTGTAATACTGACTGTCCGCTCGTTCGTCGGTCGACGGCCGTTCATCCACTCGTGGTTCGCTGGTTGACTGTTCGTCAGTCTGCGACTCTTGATATCCACTTTGCAGCGGTTCAATCGTACTTGTGGATGACAGATCGTCGACAACCGGTCCGGATGTCATTGAGACCGTCAGTTCGGGTTCCGGTTCCGCCGCTCTAAGAGTGTCGTTGTCGTTGTCATCGTCAACTTCCGACTTCCGGCGGATGTCAGTAATCGCATAGCCCTCTGCTGCCATACCGGCGGAGGTTGTTAGCGTAATGGTGGGTGATACTGGCGTAGTATTAGTAGTGATGACAGGATTAGTGGTTGTGATAGTGGTAGTTGTAGTGGGGTTGATGGTAGTAGTGGTGGTAGTAGTTGTTGAAGTGGTAGTATTTTCCTCCAAAGATACGTTTAAGTGAATTGGAAATGCCGTAGCTTTTTGTTTATAACCAAAACTGAAAAAGAAATTTACACAATACTGTAATGACACTTTTTTAGCACCTAAACGAGTGTAGGTAAATGTACGATTTTACGTCAATAATTTTAGTGACGTTTACTTATTCCTAACTAGACTGTGAAACGTAAAAACGAATATGGAATATCAGTGGCGACGAATTACAATCGTATATGGTCCGGATTTAAGATAAATTGAAATATTAAATAAGTTTCGACGATTTGAATAAAAATTAGGATGGTTTAAAAATCTACTATATAATATTATATTATCGTCGCCTTTTATGTTTGGAAATTCATACGTGTTCCTCTGAAATTAAAATCAGTAAATTATTATACAAACTACTAATATTTACGGTTCGAGTGGCTTGGAATAAATGGCTGACAATCAATACGCACTTAAAGGTTATAAAAAAATATATATTAAGGTCGTACTTTTATTAAAGTGTGAAAATAAAAAGCAAAATGTTTAGAATTCTATTTTTCACATTTCACGTCGTTTTATATTTATTATTACGTATTCAACTATTGTTAATATACATAGTTTACTTTTATATAAATAAATAAAATAAAAATTTAAATATTATAATTTTAAAAAGCAATTGATGTATTATACGAATATCATAAATAAGAAGAGATTTTCAAATAATCGAAGTTTTTTTATTTTCATCTTTAAAAGTTGTTTTTTTTCCTAAAACTAAACTAAGACATTTTTATCTTATCTAATATATATTTTACTATGAAAAAACAAAGTATCATAATAACAAAACTTGTTTTTGAAAAAAATAATATTTCCGGATATTATGACAACTCTTATAATTAAAGTTATACTTTTACGAGTATACAAGCCTGTCACAAGATGGTATTGAGGTCATTCTTGAATTCGTAAAATGTGAAACATAAAATTCAATAACCGTATAAAATAATATTTTATTTCCAAAACGAAAACTACCAATGAATTCACTATACATAAAATATAATATTACTTTTGTGTATACCTAATATACCTTCATGTTATACACGTACGTATTTTAGGAAAGGAAAACATAATTAAAGTAATTAATATACTAAAATCTTTCAAATATTACGTTATATTTGTGCGATATCGATTTCGAAATTTTCGAGGATTTATACACGTATATTAGAAGTACATTTTGACCAAGTTTCGACTAATAATTCTCACCTGTAGCTTACCCCTGGCTGGAGGACACCGGAATCGACCCGTAGTTGTAATAATAACATCTGGTCTGCTCGCAAATGAAATCCTTCAGGTCGGTACAGTCAGCTGTTGCCCAGTCCATGTTAGGAGCTTTAATCGCGACGCATCCATCTCTGGAACCACTTTCGCCCCTGAAAAGTGAAAAACGGTCATTATTTATTTGCGTCTTGTTATATTGGTCGTATGTATTTGTTTCACATAGCTACGAAATCACACCTCTTTTTCCTAGCTATGGGCAGTTCCGGCCTAGCGTTCATTTTTAAGTCTTCGTTATCCAGACCGTTGTTGTCCGGGTTTGGCCGTTTCATTTGATTGAAAGTTGTGTTGAATGGTAGACCTGTTGACATCCAGATGAGCATGTCAGTGCCCAAGCGGTTTCCAGATGTCCAATAGTCAAATTTATTGTAACCTTAAAACAATAACAACAAAAAGACCTTTTTTACTAATTTACTGCACAGTTTTTATATTTTGACGGTTCATTCATTTATTTTTCACACGCGATTGTCATTGTCTCTTGTTTGCCATAGAATTTCTTTTGGTACCAAGAGAAATTTAATTTTCATTTATGATTCATATTTAAACGGTTTGCAATACAGTGTATATAGTTTTTTTATTACATTATAATATTATGTACTTATTAATGAAGGGATATTATTCGTACATTTGTCTATTTATTTAATTTTCACGACAGTAAAATACGTTTCTATACACATCACATCGTTTTACAAATAAATTTCTCCAAATTAAAATCAATTTTTATTTTGTATTTTTATGATATTTTATATAGGTGTATAATATATTAACACATGGATAATAATATAAACAAGAGTAAAAAAATTTAAAATTATTATATACTATGTAAAAGAAAGCAAAATTAAAAGAATTTCATTTTCAGGGCAAAACTTTACCTACCTATATTATATGTCGATATTCCTTATTCTATATTAACATGTTCATTTAATTAACTTAATTTAATATATAATTAAAAATGTTCGATATTTTTTTCAGAAATGTTTCAAACCATATATTTATATCATAATTATTCATTATATTACCGTCAAGTGTATTTCAATAAATATAAATTAAATACATTTTTTATAAATTATAATAAAATAAAACAATTTAAAATATCTTTCTATCATTTTCAATAATTGCTTAATTAAAATTTCATTTTTTATACTTATTAGTGCTTAAAATCCATATTTTTTTTATTTTAGTTTTAGAATCGTATATTTACTTAATTTTTGAAACATAGTTATGTATGTTATTTTCTTACAGAAGACTGGTATCTATTTACACAGCGCATTTACTCAGTTATTTACTTTTTGTCGACCTAAATTATAGTGTTTTTCAATAGTTTGGTATTAATAAAAATCGTTATTCTTACCAGCATTTCTTAAGAAATCCGATATCGAGTTCGTTTTTTCCAATGTTTCAAATGAAGCCAACTGCAATCCAATTGATCTGCAATATTCATATGCCAAAAAATAGTTCAATTCTGCTGAATATGGGTTCATCCTACTGATGTAGTATTGAGTTCCATCCAACTGTATTGTTGTGATCCTTTGACCTAAAAATAAAGTAAATTACTAAAAATATTGATAAAAAGTAGAATTTTTGTTCATATTTTTTGAATACCTATGTTATTATTATTATATAATATATATATATACGAGTATACCTACAGTTCAGTATAATAAGAATTTTACCAACTATGTTAATGCCAATAGCTTATGAAAATCACATAGTTTTATATATATATATTGTTAATTTATAGAATTCGGTAAATTTCTATTTACTTTAATGCTTAATAAAAATATAATAATTGCAAGATTATATGGTATTTTCAAAACTAAATATAATAACGGCTTATTTTTAACTTCGCTAACTTAAGTGTTTTCATTTAAATCATTTCGATTTTTAATTTCTATAAAATATAATATTCAATCGAAAAATTATATAGTTAATAATAATGATATAAATATCAAAGACTCATATCTTTGACACTCAATGTGGTTTTATTTTTAACTAATGGCTCATCATGTTTTTTATTTGTTTTTGTTCTGGCTGTAATTGCTTGCCATCCTAGTATGTCCTTGAACAATTTCCGACTATTAATCCTTCTGAAGGGCAAATCACGTTTTGTCTTCTTCAGACTAGTGCACAAAAATTATTACGCACAGCTTGTTGTTAGAGAAATTAATTTTTTTTTGCATCTACAAATAAAAACTTCTCCTGACTGTTTGTCGGTCCCTGACATAAAATAATTTATTACTTGCATTGGCAAACCTTTATATTCTTTTCGTCTAAACTGCTAATAATATTTAATAGGTTATGCTGAAATTGTAAAATATGTATATAATACGATCATTCTGTAAATAATTTATTACGTCTTATAAGTCATACTTATTTGCAATGTTAGTTTAATAAAGTTATTTTTCAACTTATACATTTTATTTTTTTTGAGTTGTTGATAATATTTTATAAATCTATAAAATAAAAAATCTTTAAACTATACTAAAAATTAATTGGCTTGACAGTTTTATAAAATGCAAAAAAAATATATTTGCTTAAAAAAATGTCATTAAAAATAAATAATTTTTTTAATATATTTATGCGCATAATATATTATTATGAAATACATTATAAAAGGCAATAATAAATTTGATTTATGTTTAAATAATACTTTATTTTTGGAAATATTTTTAATTTCACAGTATTACATTTTAAACATTTTTAAATTAAAATATTTTTTTTATTCTAGATCTTCGAAATTATCGTTATTTATTTTATTATTTTGAAACTTCCATTGAAATTATCGATGTTACGTATTTTATGGAATATTTAAATTAATTAATTCTAGTTATTAATAGTGTTATAAAGAATTTTTTTTAAATTGAATTATATTTACAGATTGAAAATTTCGTACGTATTTACATTATATTATGCTTTTGTATGCGTAATTTTTAGTGATAATTAAAGTGTAGCTGTAATTAATTAATAATCAGTTATTAAACTCTTTATTATACTTCAATATTTGATATTATTTACAAAAACTAGAAAAAAATTTATTATTACCGCGGCCGTGAATGGGTGGAAAATATTACTTTTATTCTATTTAAGTAAGAATTTCTTACAAGTTAAATCATTATGAAAAGTTTCTATTTTCAATATTTTGTTCGTCATTTAACGTAATAAAAAAAGCTGGACAACATGGAACACTCACAAAGAAACCATTATTTGTTATTTAATTGTAATAAAATAATAATAAGATATGTTTTTGTAATCGATAAGAGGGTTGATGGAATTTCACTGATTTATTCTAAGGATGTGCTGTTTACTTCGACCACGGGGTCTTAAATACAATATACTTGTATCATTAATAATAAAAAAAAAAATGAATACAATACAATTGTTTTATTGTATTATTATTTTATTATACCTATGAAAGTATTAAATTTTAAAAAGCCTGCCCAACAGGTATCATTATATGTATATCATTTATTATTATTTATTTCATTCAGACCAAACTGAATCATTATACTATATTTTAATTTATTTTTTTATATATATAAGCATTCTTTTAAAAATACATGATTATAACATGACAGATGATACGAGATGAAAAATAATTATTTAAAAATAGTCTTTTGGCTATTGTGTTTATAATCGAATATAAATAATTTTAAAACTTAAGCCCGGGTTGGTTAATTATCTTTTTATTCATTTTAATATTAAGATATTCTAATAGTCTCAGAAAAATATAACCCCTATTGATGATGATCATATTATTGTGATATTTCTAATTTCTATAACCCGTCGTAATTTGAATACTGTCGTATATATTATTTCGAACAGACTTTTAAAATAATTTGAAAACGTTATTATTTTATTATGCGTACACCGAAGAACTTTTCAAAATAATAAATTTTGAAGATATTCTTTTGTACTGAGGCTATGATAGATACAAACAATTATAATGGTTCTAAACGATATATTCTTTGAAGGTCACGAGCCCTCACAGCATTGTCTTCAGTACCTAGCGTTTTCCACCACACATAAATTATACGAAGTTAATGCTATTATTTAATTAAAATGTTATTATTATTTTCGTTATAACTATTTCTGGATGTAAATTAATTTTTAACGACGGTACATACATTAAAAATAATAATAAAAAAAAAAAAAAACAAAAAATTAGTCACCCATCACATGCGATTCGCTCCTTTGACTTTTCTTCATACCCCGTCGTTATACATTACATGTATACATAGGATGTGGTTTTTTGTTTCTGCATAATATACGTCATAATGATGTTAAAATGACCCTAACGGCTTAACAACTGTCGGTATGTATACAAAGAGAGCTTAAAATTAACCAACTATATTCTATCTTGTGTTTAAACATATTTTTTTTATTCAAATTTACAATTATAAATATAAATAAATGCATTTCCATTAACAATTATCATTTATCAGATTTTTTTTAAAAACATTATCAATTAAATATATATTAATATAAATTTTAAAAAACGATGAATGCTTTTTAATATATTCTGTATAGCCTAACCTATCATGTATTCATGTGGCTTCCGTTTTTAAGAAAATGTAGATAGATGTACGTATTTTCGTGTAAACACTCAACAGGAAGTTCTATGGATCAGTGTAGCATTAATTTTTAGAGTTTTTTTTTTTAACCTAACCTTCACCGAGGTTCTATAATGTAGGTATTTTAAACGTTAGCAGTTCAAAACGAAATAGAATATTGAAGAGTAATTTAAAAAAAAATAATAAACGTTATCAACTTGATTGAATTTTGAATATAATCTATGTACAATCAAAAAATGCCTACCATTAAAGTCTTCAGCACAAATTAAAACTTAAAATTTAAAAGTAATAAAAAAAATAATAAATGTATTTATCGATTTAACATTAAAATTTATATTTTCCAAAGCTTACCATATAATTAAAATACTAGATACGTGGTTAAAGTCTTATATAAATACGAAACTTAAAGTTGACATATTTAAAATTAATATATTATCTATAATTTACATAAAATTATCGCTCGTTCTCCATGCATATAAATATGATACCAAGTTATATATTCTAAACGATTGTCATAAGGTAAACTTTCTGCCATGAAAAAGCTGTATAAAATAAACCTAGTCATAAATTTTGGGGAATTGAAGGATTAACCTTCTCCACCCCAAACTTTTAAAACCCCCCAGTTTTTAATCATATTTACGAATAGGACAAAGACATATTACTATTTTAAAAATTATAGGTTTATAATAGGCCTATCTTTATACCAATAATGCTATATCAATTGATAATACTACACGAAAATATACCGGTATAGCTAAAATGTAGTTCCAGAATCGGTTACCGGGGATTTAGGTACGCTAAATACGGCAATAGTTTACTCATCAATAAACGTGTAACATACGATAATATATTATGATATATATATATATATTAAAACAATAATTATATAATATACTGACCCGCCGCAAACCATGCGAATACTGTGACCACGGTCAAAGCGACCCGTGTTGAACTGGCGGTGATCATGACGATTTGCAGTCGTGTGTCTATCGTCGAAACGGCTATTATATGCGATAATTAATTCGAATCCTTCCGGTCGACGATATTATAATTTAATGATATTATTTAGCTCCACCGGGTCGAGTGCGTGCGCAATGGTAGTGTTACTTTTGTGCGGGTGGACGAACACTGAAGCGTGTAATACAATAAATATTATATCATTCACGGTCGTCGTTCGAGAGTCGTATGGTCCGGCAGAAGTATGCGCGTGTGTGTTTATACGATCGTGTGCGACGGTTAACTGCGCTTGAAGACTGGCCCGCGTGCGAGCGTGGACGTTACCCCCTCCCCACACCCCGCCTGAGCTTAAGTCGGTTGTGAGTTTTTGTTTATTGTGTGTTTGTGTGTGCGTGGAAGAAGCGCAATGCCCCCAAGCTGACGCCGCGCGGCACAGCCCTATGTGATGGTGATGGTCTCGCCTATTGTTCCGACCAAACCCTCATGACATACGAGTGCACGTATCTACTCATAATATCATAATAGCCGGGTGGAAAAAAAATGAAGAAAACCATTGCATTACACCCAACGCCGTGTTCTGCGTGGGCGGTAGAACTCAAGGGGGGCGCTATACGTCACTCTGCACGGGGTCATTGGGTTTGATTTGAGGGTTCTCTATTCTTTTCATAATACACTATTATAATACATAATGGTCAGACGGTTCAAAAAAAATGTTATTTACTCCGTTCACGATGACCATCGTCAAAGTCACCACACTATTGAACTGAATATCTTGGGATTTTCAATCACACGTCTTTCGTGCATTTAGTGTTCAGTGTCCCACACATTTGAATATCGCACCAGTTTACGAATTATTATAATTGTTTATGTATCTCTCCTAGCTTACCACATAGATACTCTACTTCCGGTATTACAAATGAAATTTCCTTAAATACAGTACTTGTAAACCCATTAGCTGTACGTACAAAAAAAAAAAAATAAATAAATAACATTTCATGATCACACGATCTCAATATTTGTTCTTGTGTTTACTGCTGTTATTTCAATTTTTTTAAGACATAAATCATATATTCATATTTATTTATATTAACCGATCGATACCGTTTAATTCATACTTTGGTTTTTAAAAAGGATTTGGTTTTACTTCTAGTGAACGTTTTACGACCTTATTTTTTTTTTTTATTGGTTATATGGAATTTAAACTATTTTTGTGTACACAGTTATAAAGCAACATACACCCCTTTTTTAAATATGAAATACCTTAGTCATAATAATAATATTGTCGTCTTATTTCATTATTGGTTTAGCCAAAGTCACACAAGTCATTTCAACGTCATTGGTTTCGGTTGTTTTTTTTTCTTTGAACAATTACTGTCTAACATCAATATTCATTGAATGTTTTCCGTAATAATTATAGCCAAGAGTTACTTAAACGTGACATGGGAAACGTTATATTTCTGCCCACTCGTATAATATATAAGTTATATAATTATATTATACATGCGCGGTGAACAAATTCTTATTTTATGTTTATGGAAAAATTTAAACTGGGAATGAAACGAGCACCAGTTATGTATAGAGATTCAATTTGTTTGAACCATTGTTCACATTGCAACAACTAAATCAGACGGAGCGTAATATTTAATTAATTTTTATGTTCATACGATTTTTTATTTCCTATCATTGTAAATCATTATTAAACCAACAAACGATGCAATCAATAATCTCTATAATTATTATACCTCTAAATTACAAATAAAATAAATTTAAAGTATATCAAATTATTAATTAGTATACATTATTATGACAATCTACTTTTAGTCGACGTGTATTGTTGTCACATCCATTATGAACATATTTTATTGAGGTATAATATTATAGAAATCAAACAAAAATGTATCATAACTAGGTAATAAACTAGTGGTATATTATAGAGCTGATTCAAATTTCAAACTAATTTATATTTATTTCTAAGTTTTAATTAAATTAATATCAGTATTTATGAATTATAATAATTTATACATTTATTAATAGTGGGTAGGGAGTTGTACCAAATATCTAGATGAAGTGTAAACACTGTCGAACCTCCCCATATAAATTAATGAATTTAAAAAAAGTCAAATTATTTTATCTTTGTATAGTTTTAAATAAGAAACAATATTGGACATTTTTCAATTTTTGATTACTGTCATAATTAACATTATTACTATGAAATAAGTTATGTTTCATAGGCCAGTTGACACTCATCGACCGCATTTTTTATGCATACAATGTATGCTACACTGTGCACGTAGTATGCAAATTCTATCTTATGAGAAAAAAACACTAAAATCCTTTAAAAAAATGAAAATAATAAATAAATAATTGAAAAAAACCACATGCTCTGCTCACAATGAGCCAGTATTTATTTGTTTATTTTTTTTTCAATGCTACCCCGCGTATTATAATAATGTGTGCAGTTGTGCGTACTACATTTTTTTTTTAACAAGTTTTTATATGAACGTGTATGTGTGTGTTTAGATAACCGTCCCCATATGACTGCGATACACGCCGAATGCGTGTGCGTGCATATTGTACACACACACATTGCATACACTTGTGTAACGTATATATGCACCTATGTGCGCGTATAGTTCTTAAAGAGAGAAAGAGAGAGAATGAGAGAGATAAGCGTGCATTGTTCTGTACACACACGGACACAAATAACCGGGTAATTAGCATCTTCGCGTTACATCATCGTGCGGGTATAAATTACTCTTCTATGTGTATAAGATGTAGTATTATATTTACTTGTATATGTGTGTCTATGTGTAGGTCTGTGCCCAGGTATATAGGTACCTAATATTGTATTGCCTCGTGTGAGTCCAAGAGCGGCCATCCACCGCCGGTTCGGCGACCTTTTCGACGTATTTCGTGTCCAGCGATTTTTTTTCGCTCTTTCCTCTCCTCCCCCCCTTCTGCCACACCATCAGCTTCGCGTTCTGTGTTTTCCCGATTCTCAAGAGCGCCTACCGATGCCCGTACGACAAATACAACCGAAAACGTAACCAGTAATAAATTACTAATGTTAGCAATAATAATTACTAATTACCTATAATATTATCGGTATTATAAGTGATAATAGCTGGTTTATTAACAGTTCGCGAGACGATGTCCAGTATATGTTGCCGAACGTATATTATCGTGAAATAGGTATAAACGGACCACAAACCCAATAGGTAGTTGGAACTCAGTTGTAAAAACTGTCATGTCTCTGAGTTGTTTTGGATATTTTAGATAGGCCCACAGCAATTTTAGCGACAATTTAAAACGTAATTATTATATTTATGATGAGACTTCAAACTTAAAAATTTTTGAATTCTTATATGTTAATATATATGAGAATATGAATATGATAGATATTAATCGAGATATAAGCTTAACAATCCTAATTTTATTTCACGTGTAAACCACTGAGTAGTATACCTATTCGCAGTTATACAGCGACAGTCTGCAACTGTATATCAGAGAATACCTATAGTATTTTAATAACTACATAAATTATTATGCTTATACAATTGCCTCTGGCTCCGATGAGTAATATTTATACAGTAATACATACACATTAATACCAACGTCTAACATACAAGTATTATATTGAGCTATAATATAACTGCGTTAGAAATCCGGCGAAAAATGCGATTGAGGGCCTAATCAAAAAAAAAAAAATTAATAGCACAGTCCGATTCTTTAGAAGAATTTATTTTTTATTGCACGGTTAGTAAAATAATACACCTTCTAAATATTAACCGCAAGACACAAAATAACCTTAAATAATTTTTGTTTTAAATTATATAATCAGACTGAAAAAAACTCAATCTAAAGTTGTGAGGAGGGGTTTGGGCTCAACTTAACCACTAAACTTACCCGCCCCAACTGCTATATACTCAGGTCTTATTTTAATAATTATCACCAATTATCATTTACTATAATGCCATTATACCTTGGTACTTAAAAAAATAACAATCACTTTAACGGTGCTATGGCAGGTGTATTGAATGCTGGTCGATTATACATGTACAACGTGTACTTGTTGATCGATGGCTCTATACTTTTAATTTATATTGCGTATATCGGCTGATTTATAATTATATGCTATAATATAACGGAAACGCTAACGAGCGAATATATAGGTGCAAAAAATATACAATATTAAATTAAACTATGAAAAAAAGTCCATTGTTTGTTTCCGTTTTAACGTTATATAACTTGTTAAAATATTGAACTGCGCCATTAATGTTCCTAGATACGTGTGCCTCACATTATTCCATCCATCTCAATTTTTATGGACTCAGTAATGGCTAATGAGTATTGTATAGTAATTATTTTATGTATAAATGATTCCTTTATAAAAAATATACTTCAATATTAGTATAATATTAAGTATACATTTGCTTGTCTGTGTTAACATTATTTTTATTTTGTTCTATCTTCTTGTCCACTATTACTATTAATGATAATATAATAATAATATTTTTTCAAAATTCGTACTTCAAACGCTCATAAAAAAATATATATGGCTCCATGTTCTACGCCAAACACTTTTTTTTAAATTACAGTAAGAATAATTTATGAAAAATCTTATATTACATTTTCAAATTTCAAATATTAAAAATATAAATTTTATGAATTTTTAACCACAAAATAATTTGCAAATATTTGTTACTTTGACATATTTTTAAAAAATTTGTATTTCGAACACTTATAAAAATAAAAAAGTAACTATAATTTTTTCATTTAATTAAGAACAACTTATACAAAACTTTTTATTGAATTTTCAAGGTTTTTGATTTACAAAAGCAATTATTTATATGAAGAAGAAATCGAACATTTTAAATTTTTAATACTTATATTAAGTAGTTCAAAAAAGCAAAAATGCTTTTTCTTATTTTTTGCAAATTAAATTATATTTATAAAATTATAATATGAATAATTTGGTGGATATTTCAATTATACTATACACTTAATCACAAGTTTTTTTCAACTAGAATAAACATCTTTGAAAAAAGTAGTTTGAAATTTTTTCTGCTCCAAAACGAGATATCAGATATAAAAATCAAAGCATATATTATCATAATAATAAAACCAATACATTCATCACACTGCTAAGAATTTAGCTAAACATTTTATGATACGTAAACTTAATAATATTTTTAGATAATTTTAAAAATAACTATTACTTAAGCCTATAAACAGTATAAACATAATATAATGTGAAATAAAATGGATACTAATAGTAGTTACACTATAATCGATG